CACACATGTCCGGGCAGCAAGGTCACTCCTGGATTCACTCTGTATCTCCTGCTTGCCTCTTTATTTCTGTGGATGACAATAAAAAAGGATTTTCTCACAATTAAGATCCATATACCAATAACTCATTGATTCAAATCAAGGTATTTATTGTCATGCAGTATACAAAGTTACTCTGTACAATGAAATTCTTATGCGCACACTAAAGAGACAAAAATATATACATATGCATTAGGCATTAGGCTAAAGTACACCTTGCGTTCTTGCAAATATTGCGAGTTGGTGACACAAAGTCACAGCAACAGTCAGTCAAAGTACAGTATGTGCATGTCTGTGTGCACGTGTGTTATCAGCGGTTATTGTTCTGTCCGTGATGATGTTGTGGGCTCTCCTGGTGGAGTAAATGTGCTGTAGTGAGGGGAAGGCTGCTCCTGAGATGAACTGTGCCTTCCTGTCCCAGGCCAGTGTCCATACTACGTGGTCATTGATATAGTAAGGACACTCTCGACTAGTTGCTGAGTAGAAGTTGCTGAGAATTTTGGTTTCCTGAGCCTTCTTAGGAAGTACAGCCTCTGTCCTCTGTGAGGTCCTCGCTGGTGTGATTTACAGGTTTTCACCCATCCACCTCAGTGGAAGAGGTGTGTGCTGCACCGTCTTCATCCTCGGTCTTGTCTGTGTTCAGGGAGAGGTTATTATTTTGACACCAGGCCAAAAGTTCCTGCACCTCTCTTCTGGCACGTTAGCCTGAAAAGACCTGCTTTGAACCTTTGATCCATCTCCCCTGGTGATGTCCCCTCTGAAAATTGTGAATGTATACCGGACATGTTCCAAGTTTACAGAATGTACAGTGCACACAGAGGACTCCACATGGCAGCTTCATTGTTTGCCCTTAACTGAGAGACCAACCAATAGAACGGACCCTGCCAATAGCTGTATAATTTTATTAAAATGCACCAATATGAACACAGGTAACAAAGCTCTCAAACTCTCAGCAGATGAGAGTGGGAGTGGACTCACCCCCACTGTCATCTGCTGCCTATGCACTTTTTCCCTCCTTTTCTGTTGTCTGTTGGCAACGCTGTTTAGCAGTCACGTTTTCACCTTATGAAAGTGAGCAGTTTAACATGACATGAGGATGTAAATTTGAACATGTTGTAGGGAGCATCAAATGTAGTCTTGTAAAAGAGACAGTTGAATGTTGAAAGCAGCCCTTGTCCTTTTCAGGTGGTCTATTTTTCTCCTTATTTCTTACATGAGCAACAAGTGGTGCCTGTTGCTCAACAGCTGATCTGTGATACAACTGTGACCCCTCCTGAGCCTTCAAGGCATTGCAGCTTGACCCAGTTTGACTTCAGGGGGGGGTCACTGTTCAAATTACTAATATCACACTGTATAACAATGGATGAAATACTAAGTGGAGATATTTAAACTATTTTATGTGAAAGGAATCAGTAAACACTAAACGTTCTGGCATTTGAGGGGCTGTAAAAGAGACATATAACCTTTATGCATGTGTATTGTTGAGTGGTTTATTTTCTAATAATACATTTTATTTGAGGAACTCTTTATATGTATTACGTGCAAAAATATTGAGATATTTATAATCATTAAAAAAGTCACTAAAATGAAAAGTAACTCATTAACTGCATCTGTCAGATTAATGCGGTGGAGAAGAACAATATTTGCTTCTGCAATGTAATATTATGTACCTTTTAATGTGTACTTCAACACAGTAGATGTATTTGGTTACCTACCACCACTGTCTGATCAACAAGCTGATCAATTCTGTTAATTGCGTGAGATTATGATTAATTTAGAAAACGCCGTTTTTGTTCAATGAGGAAAGTGCTTACCTCGGGATCACGCCTCCGTATACAAACGCGTGGGGTGTCTGTGATCTTTAAAACAGCTCGGGGAAATAAACGGGTCAACACTCGATTCGAGCTTTGTCGCCACAGAAAACCCGGCGAGCGTCCCTCCCTCTCTGATAGGAGCCATTGTTCCATGAAACAAAAACAGTGCTCCAGGTCAGGCCCACCTTCCAACGGGGGGGGGGCTTGTGGGTGCTGGTCACTCTGTCCTGGACCGGGACATTTGGAATAACTATTAGTCAGAGCCGGTGTCACGGTGTTGATCACTCAGGCGATGAACTGCATCTTTCCACGAGCAGCCGGGGACGCACAATCAGAGAGGGAGATCAACACAAAGCAGACAGAACGTTGTGAGGACTCACGTCGAAAATCCAAACGTATCGACGGCGTAGAAAAGGGACTCGCGAGAGTTGACAGGTGGAAGTTCTCGGGGCCACTTTTCCAAAATCAGAAACCAAATTGTTCGTGACAGGACATGCTGTGCATCATGCAACGCGGGCGTACTGTGCAACAACACACAGAACACACAACCATGTTTACAAACTGCAAAGAGGACCACACTATCAAACAGGGACGGGAATATACGGGACGTCTTAAAGACACACAAAAGTACTTTTAATGAGTCATTCGTGTCTGATGTGGTTTATGCAAAGGAAAACGTTTCATTAACATTTCTTGGAATTACTTGTCATTTAAAAAACACAATCTATGCATCAGCACATATTCTTTACAGGACACAGGAGTCTGTTGTCAGTGTGTTTCCATGGTTTTGAAAAGATCAACACAAGCACAAACTGACATTTAAACACAGGGACATATGAAATCCGCCTATGGGCCAGGACTACAGGCGAGCTCATATATAGATAGAATATATAAATATATATTTATATATACAGTATAAGAGAAGAAAAAACACTTTCTGCGTGGAGAACAAACAATTATTCTGTCTTCAACAAAGCTGTGATGTGAATTACTTTCATTTAATGCAGTTAAGGTATGAAACTGTTTTCAAAGTGATGATTTCAGTGTTTAAGAAGAAGACCATCCTCACTTCCTGCAGCGGGTCATGGTGGTCTCTTGCTGACCTGTCTGCCGTGTTGACCTGTTGTTTTCACTGCTCTTTGTCTCAGACCCCCACACCCTTCACTTTCTTCTGCCCTTAAACGGAACATCATGGCGGATTAGTTCTTGACTGATAAAGAGAAGCTCTCAGGTTAAAATGTTCCTGCACCTGCAATTTGATAAAAACATATTTTTTTAGTTTCTTCCATCCCAATGTTCCACACCCACACGGTTACACATCATGCCCCGAGGTTAGTTCGGCCTGGCCTCGCAGTCCCCACTGTCCCGCCCACCTCCTCCCACAACGGAGTTTCAGGTATCATAAACAGTTCAGCGAGAAGACATGATATTACTGAATGTTTCACAGGACAAAGTAACACTGAACACTTTATTAAATAGAACATTAAATGACACATTACTCCTCTGCAGCGGCGTCTGAGATCTGTGCTTGTTTGGTTTTAGGGGTGAAAACCATGAAATCAATGAAGAAGTTTACAATGGAGCTGCTGCTTGGAGAACTGATAGTAGATTAAACGAGGTCTTCTGGAAGAAATGGAATACAATACACTGCTCAGATAAAAGGAACAAATCTTTTATCAGGGTATGGCATGGTTCAATTGCACTTCTCTAATAATGATCTGATCAGGTAAGTAGCAGCTTCATTGGTGTTCCCAGCACAATCTCCAAAACATGGAGGAGATTCCAGGAGACAGGCTGTTACTCTACGAGAACTGGACCGCAGAAGGCGATCAACCCATGGATGCACGTGAAAGGGTCTGGAGAAGCCAATGAGAACGCTATGCTGCCTGCAGCATGAGCGGTTAGGTGGTGGGTCAGTGATGGTCTGTATCCACTGAGGGACGCACAGACCTCACCAGGCTAGAGAACGACAGCCTGATGAAATCCTTGAACCCGTGGTCGGATCCTACGCTGGTGCAGTGGGTCCTGGGTTCCTCCTGATGCACGACAATGCCCGGCTCATGTGGTAAGAGGATGGGGGCATTACCTGGAGGATGAAGGAATTGATCCGATTGAATGTCCCTCACAATCACATGACCTAAATCCGATAGAACACCTCTGGGACCTTGTGTTTCGGTCCATCAGACACCGCCAGATTGCTCCTCAGACTTTACAGGAGCTCACTGCAGTCACACAGATCTGGGAGGAGATCCCACAAGACACCATCGTCGTCTCATTAGGAGCCCACAGCGACATTGTCAATCAAGCACGTGGGGGCTACACAAGATATTAGGCATTTTGAGTTGCAGAAATTGAATTTTGGCCAAATGACTATCCTGCTACATCATTTTCTCATTTGGATTTTCGGGGTGTCTATAGTTAAGCCCTCTGATGGCTGAAAGTTTAATTTCCATCAAAAGATGTGGCATCTTTTTGTTCCAAAGACATTAAACTGTCCATTTTAGTGTAGATATTCAACACAATTTCTTACACATTGAGATCCGATGTGTTTTCAAAGTGTTCCTTTTTTTAGCAGTGTCCTGTATTCAGTGGTTTGCAATATGCAACCTGGCCACTAGATGTCACTAAATCTTAAACTGTTTCTTTGAATACAATCTGGAGTGCACTTTGCATCCATTGCCATAATAAAAAGCAACAGAGCACTGCATCCAGGCACAAACGAAGTTACACATTGAATGATTAACAATGTGGAACTGTAAAGAAAGAACATTTAACTACTTCCTTTATCTTTAATACACTCACCTGTATTCAAGCCACAGGATTATTGTCCCAGTGCTGATGACAAGACTTGCTGACCAGCAGAAGCCACTCTTCAGGCTGATCCAGAGTCAGTGCAGTTGGTTTTCAGAGGGGACCTTCAGAGTTCCAGGTTTAGACAACTCCGGACCGGAGACTGTAAGGGGGAACCAGAACTTGGACCAAAAAGAAACGAAGGCATCATGTGGGTTTGCTGATATGTACATGAGGCCACATCAAATATCACTGCGTTGCACTGATGCAGCCAGCCACTGCCCATATTGTCATAACACTCTGCCACAGGGTGGCGGTGGAGATCCTCAGTGCTGCTCGTCCTCAGGCAAGAACAAGTCGTTCACGGTTAACTGATTCTTTATTTGGGAACACAGGAGATTGATACAAACCATTTCAGTGAAGATACAAGATACAGATAACAAGTTTACTCTAATCAATAACTACTGGTTGATAGTTGAAATCATCATTCAGTGTAACCCCTCCTTGAAAGCAAATTTGGTTGTATTTTGAATATTTCTTGATGCAATTTATATTATCAATGTAAGCATGGAATAAAACACGTCACACTAAAGAGGATGAAAAAGCCTGTAGAATGCCGTAAGACAGCAAAGAGCCGAGAAGGATCAGTGCATCTCTAAACAGGTAAGCTATCACATGTGCATTCAACCCTTCCTCTCGCTTTCAATGGCTCTAAACACTACTCACTTTTTGTCATTTTGTGATCTTGATTGAAATGGACAAGACTGGCACTTTGCATAGTCGCTGTTCTCGTTTGTTTTATCTTTATTTTGTCAGCATTCAAATGTGATGCAGAGCTACAAAAAAGATCATGCGGGAAGTGGCCTTTAAATATGGATTTGTTCCACCCAAGCTCTGTTTCCAAATTCATAAATGAACGATAAACAATGACTTTTTTGTCAAGCCCGGTTGGTTATAAAAGAAGATCCCAAAATAAATGATTCGTCTCCTGTACTTCTATCTCCCGTTTTCATGACGATGCTAGAAGTGATTTCTAGGAAACAAAAGAACCTGTTTTTATTTCTTGAAATGAAGCATGGATCCACTTTGAATATTATCAGCCCCTAAAGAAGCAGGAGGAGTAAGGGGTACTTTTCTCACGCGTGATACTTTAGTTGTCTCACCTTCTCATGGTTGACTCAAATCTAACAGCAGAAGTGAGTTTCTCATTGAGTCCGTCTGAAGCAGGACACTGTTGATGATGCTCAGCTGCTCGTGGTGATGTCATGGACTGATAACATTCAAAAAGGGTGAATCTGTACAACACGGTCCGTCTCTTTGCATTTTAATATCGTCTAAAATGACTGAGGGAGGATCTTAATGTCAAAATGTTTCACATGACAGTTCTAAATTTGATTGTAACAATCTGTGTATAAAAGGTAAAGAGCTCCAAATAAATTCCATTTGTGTATGACTTGTTCACAAGTATTAAAACCGCTTCCTGTACACAAACACTTGGTAGCTTACATTAGGTGCAATAGTTTATCTGTACAGATATGATCTATTCATTTCAGATTGATTTTATATTTAACATCTTTGTGTCATTCTTCAGGTTCCAATAAGACAGCCGTTTACAAACTACAAAGCTGCAGGGCACAAAATGAAAATCACATTTAAAATATGTACATCACACCCATGGAAACAAAGGAATTGAACGAGCTGTAACGTTGGCGTAAAACATAACCACGTGTGTGTACATGCATGTGTATGTGCAAGCAAGTGTCCAAGTTATATTACATTCACAGTTGCAGAGGACAGGTGGGTCAGGAGAGAGCATGGGGGTCTCTCCTTCCCTCTCTGTTCTACGAGCGACAGCAGCCAGCAGTCCTCATTTCTTTGTCGACGTACTGCTGCAGCTGAAACTTTGGCTCATCGGGCTCCTTCATGGTCCTGTGCTTCAGTTCTCTGAGGAAAAGAGAGTAAACAAGAGGCTGTGCTAACTGTGGACAAGAACGTCACTCCCTCCGCCATCACAAAATGTCATCAATAAACACTAATGGCACGCCTGTTGTTATTTTGCTTCACATTAATTCCACCATCTTCATTTTCAGGTTGGTATTTTCTGACATGTGGTACTAGAATTACCTCAAAGCGGTTGCATGCCACCATCAATCGGACCAGAGGTCACAGCGACCTTTAACATCTAATGAGTTTACTCTCCAAATGGACGTTGTGCCAAAATGAAAGAAATTCCCTCAAGCGGTTCCTGAGATATAGAATCAACATACATAAAGAAACGTACATCGAAATAAAAGTATATATAATACCCTCCCACAATTAGTTTGACATTTTAGGAGTAAGATGAGAGGACTTGTATGACTCTCATCTCAGTAGATTAGATAAAAAGCAGCAGCTAGAAGTGTTCCTTTTAATCTCCTTAAGGGAAAACCCAATTTTGTGGTCTTAATGAGTTGATTGGAGCGAACAGAACAGTGACTGCAGTGCTTACATCACCTGGTCACTGACTGAATAGTGACAGCAGAGGATTGTTGTCATGTAATTATAGTAAATAATTAATTAGAACAGCTTCCAACTCATGTTTACCCACTTGTAGAGGCTTCTAGTTGAAGCACTTTTTTGTTTCATGCAAATAAAGCACTTACAAAGTGAAACGGACTAAAAGCACGGCGGGACGTAAGAGTGACAGATGAGAAGGGGGGTTGTTAGAGAGAGCAGTGTGTGTGTGCCTGGTGTTGCGTGGTAGACAGTCACCATGCCAGCGTGTTGCCATAACGAGGCTATAAATGCACAGCTACTCCCACACAGACTGTCCGACACGGCGGATTTAAGTGAGACGGCGAGTTGGAATAGCATCCTCCTTATTAAGAAATATAAGACGAAAAAAAAAAAAGAGTGAAGTATTGGACGTCTCGCTGTCAATGTAAACTTTTGGTCAGGGAGGTAATCTCACTGGAACAGCTGGACTGGTTACTACATCATTTAAAATAAGGCGTTGTTGCCTTTCACACAGGACTCAATAGCTTCTCTATTCTTCTTCTGCTGGTATCATCTATGTTAAGCGAGCAACCGTGAGATAGTGGCACCAGGAGCAGCAAAGGCAGGAAGCAGACATGTGGTGAGCAACGGGAGATAACGTTGTGTTTTCCTTTTGTGATAAAAACCATTGCAATGTTTATCTGTGACGTGCTAAGAATAGACGTTTTACACACTGACGGCGGTATATCGACCTCTAAGTATTAGAGATATTAGCCAGGTATACTATCCGCCTCCACAAGCTGCGGGTCGGACTGGATCCCGTAAGGATAAAGTCCCCGAGTGTGTCCTTAACATTAGGTCGGGTCGTCATCTTTACTGTTAACTCCACACCAGAGCTACTGTACGACAGGGACGGGCCTCCTTCATGCTGTGGTGTGGTGTGTTTGTGTGTGACTCACTTGGCCACTGCAGTGAAGGCCAGATCCACATTCAGTCCAGACTTAGAACTCGTCTCCATGAAGGGCACTCCGAACTCCTGCACGGAGAATTCAATTCATTTTATATAGCACCTAAATTGCAAATTACAAATTTGCCTCAGAGGGCTTTACAGTCTGTACACATACAACATCCTCTGTCCCGAAACCCACCATCGGCAGAGGAAAAACTCCCCAAAAAATGAAAAAACCCTTCCAAGAGGGAAAAAGGGAAGAAACCTTAGGGAGAACGTCAGAGGAGGGATCCCACTCCCGGGATGGACAGACTACAATGGATGCCATGTGTACAGAATGAACAATGTATAATACATGCAATTATATGACAGAAATGATTCAAGTAATTGTGAGTAGTAAGCCAGAAGAAGCTTCTGTTATTAGGGATCTCTGGGAGTGTGTGTGTGTGTTCCATGATGGGGGCGTGGCACTTTTGTCTTTCTGATGCTAAAAGCATAATTAAGCTTGGGATTCATTTCGGTTTAATCTAACACAAGCAAGATGAGAGGGTTGCAGATCAATACTAATAAGAGGGCTGATATTTCTGGCTTTGAAAAACACATTTTGTTCCCGCTTTTGTAATTTATCAGTAAATGAACACAGTGCATACTCGGTGAAAGATGCTCTCAGGTAGAGCAATCTGATTTTGTCTGAGTGTGTGTGTGTGTGTGTGTGTGTACACAATATACCCAGTGTGTGCGTGCCCTTGACAGCTGCACAGCTTTTCCCACTTCTCCTCATATTTACTCTAACACGCCTCTCAGAGCATATCTCAGAGAAATGATGTAGAAAATTAAGTTAGCAAGCCCTTGTCATTTGTTCCTACCAAAAACAACATTGTGTGCCTCCATGCATACGTAACTGCACACACTGATCAACACACAGCAGCTACATGGGGAGAATTTCAGAGTCCACTTGGCAGCATATTACAGTATGTCTGTTATCCTTGTGTGACTGTGTGTGTGTGTAACAGGAAGCTTACCTTGGCCAGTTTCTCTCCCTCCTCTCGCTTCACCATCCTGTCATGTGTGGAGTCAACCTGGAAAACATTGTTAGAAACAAGTTAGAAACAATCATTTGTTTGTTATGTGTTGTCCATGTTTGACTTTCAGGTGTTGTAAATCTCAACCATTTGGAGATGAAGACGTTGACTACATCAATCACTTATTTTGGTTTACTTTGGATCTCTAACAAGCCATAACGTACTACATGATATTTCAGCCACTGACAAACCGGTTATCACGAGCGTGGAAACAGTTGATTTATTTACAATTGTAACAGATACAGAGTAACATCAGCGCTCACTTTAAACTGTGCTCTTGGCTACCTTAAAATGTAGGTTGCTTTACTTGTTTTTTGGTTCCGTTTTGTTCTCCAAGGAGAAATGCCCGACTCGTTAGCTTTAGCTAGCTTTTTAGCTAAGCACTCCACGGTGTGGAGTCAAACAGCGCGGTGGGGGAAAGCTACGTGATGCGATGCTCCAGGAACCTGAGGGGAACTAAAGAGCTGGGGGATACGTCCCTTTGCTTGGGCTCTGTTTACATTCCACACAGCCATATGATGTATTGTTAGCTTAACTCGTCAATGTACAAGGTTTTATGCAAAAACCCTTTCGATTTTACGGTCACTTCTCACAGCCCGGCCTTTCTGTCCCAATGACCGGCAACAGCTTCGGAGTCGTTTTGTGCGAAATACATCTCTTTCCCTCCTTCCAGAGACATCCATGAACCCCCTCCTGCCCCTCCTCTAATAAGCCAATCTGTCCAATCCATATAGTACCAGTGTTGGCCACGAGGTCTCACCTTGTTGCCCAGCAGCATGACGACCACGTCCTGCTGGGCGTACTCGTGGATCTCTGTCAGCCAGGCCTGGAGACGGAAAGAAGGCAGAGTGGTGAAAAGAGTGGGTTGATACAAGGGAGGGATGGGAGATGGATTCAGGTGAGGGATGAGAGGGAGACAGATAAAAGATACATTGATTGATCATTTTGTCCACCACTCCTCCCTCAGGGTCTCGTCTTCATTGTCCTCCCGCATCCCCACCCATCCGTCGTCTCATTACGGCCCAGTAGCGTCTCGACTCTCTCCCTGGCTCGGATAAAAAGCTCTTTATGTCTCCGTGGGCCTGTGATGCTCAGAGACTCCACTACTGCGCACTCGCATGAATACAAAAGTTGAGACTGAGAGCTTTTCCATTCCACTTTGACACAACGGTTTTGTATGCTTTGGAAGCAAGAGCGGCTAAGAAACAGACGACTTGTACAAGATAATGGATGAGTAGCTAAAAAAGAAGAGTGAAGAATGGTTGCAGACCTTCCGGATCTGATTAGTATCGGACAGGTCAGTCTTAACTGTCAGCTTACGTTTCATCTGATTTTATCAAATACTCCAGTACACTTATTAAAGTCTATACAGCCGTGAGGAGCTCTGTGTGTATCAGCAGAAGTAGATGTGACATTTCTTGGAGGCCGTGACAGACGTGCCTTATACATCATTTTGATTTTAAAAAGAAAAAGGTATTTACTACTGACCGTGTCCTTTCTCCAACATTTCGAAGCACAAATCACTTCTAAAATTGATTCAGCGAGGTAATTGAAGTACATTTCCTCTGCACAGTATTTTATAGTTATTTTGACTTTAATGTCTGCTACCAAATACTTAAATTACAAATGTATTCTAGTAATATATCCTGTTCCCTCCAAATAATACATCTCCTCACAGAAGAAAGATATGTGGGACATAATATGACGAACATGAGCAGAAACAATCTCGCAGAAGCACATTTGAGCTTTTAAGGTCCAACGGTTCACAAATCAATCAACGTATCATTTAGTTTAATAAGGTGCCCTGTGAATATAATAGAAGAAATATAAGAAGAGTAAATCATGTCCCGTGTGATGAGAAATAAAATGAAAATGACAACTTAAACGAGAACACATATTTCAATACAATAAAGAAAACAGAGTTACTGCATTACATTTGTATAACGAGTAAAGAGATGAACAAAAGCAATTCCATCATACGTTGATGCAGAAAGATTCAGCAGGATACCGAAGGTTAAGTGTTTCGCACTTCAAAAGGTCCTGAGGTCAAACCCGCTTCATATCGTGCACGCGTACGGACGTAGATCACGATGACTCAACATGGTTTTTTTTGTGTGTTTTATTGCCATCGGGGACCTCTTTGTGCTTCTATATTATAATTAAAAGTGGAATTGTGATCTCAAACACAACCGTAACCTGCCTGAAAATATTTTTCTCCCAAATTGCATTGACGAAAAATGTTTTTCGTTGGAAAGAATTTTATAGACCATGAAAAGCAGATAAAACAACCTTCTGCCACTGTGCAACATCAAAGTAAAACTTTTAAAAGCCTCCGACTCTCGCCAGCAATCCCGACTCATTCAATCCATTCATATTAACAGAAACAGCGTTTATTCTATAAGTAGTTATTTTGCGCCACTCCACCACAGAATACAGAACATGCAGTTTGTCATTGTGCTTGTTAGGATAACCATGAGGATTGTTAACGCAGGCTGCAATAATTTGCATTGAGGCAGAGAAGGTTTCATACATTCAGGTCTTTAATAAACCCAGTTAATTATGGAAATCAATTCAGTTATATAATGTTCTCTGAGAAAGATACTGTATTGTGTGAGTGTGCTTTTGTGTGTGATTAAATTCAAGTTCAATCGCACTTTCAAAAGTTTTCTTTTGGGGCAACAAAAAGAATTTCATTTTCAGACAACGAAGATACTAAATAATGAGCCACAGTGGATCACAGGATTTGTATTAACTTTCCAGTCTGCCTGATATTTTTGGTTTGAGGGATGTTTCAAGCACTCCAGGGTTTGAGTGTGCTTCTAAGCCTGCTAAGAGGGGGAAGAAGATGGAGAGCTTATGCAACAGAGCACCTCTAATTTTGGAGGGAGGAGAACAGGAAGGTTAATGCAGAGGACAGAGGGACATTTCACCAGTACTACAACTATATAGAGGTAGCCAGAAAAAAATATCAATACAAATGTCATTCCGGTTCAAATGTAAAAAAAAACGTCACTTTTTGCGGTAAGGAAGTAAATCTTTGACAGCCGTGTGAGTGATGTGAACTTAGAGATCTCAGCGTGGGTTACAACTATGATGTCATCTACAGAACCGGACTCCGTTTCCCCTCACTCCCTGAAGCATTGTGCTGACCAGCTGTCTCCGGTGTTCACTGACATCTTCAACACCTCCCTGGAGACATGCCACGTACCAGCCTGCTTCAAGGCCTCCACCATCATCCCTGTTCCCAAGAAGCCCAGGATCACAGGACTCAATGACTACAGGCCCGTCGCCCTGACCTCTGTAGTCATGAAGTCTTTTGAACGGCTAGTCCTGTCCCACCTGAAGTCCCTCACCGACCCCCTCCTGGACCCCCTGCAGTTCGCCTACAGAGCCAACAGGTCTGTGGACGATGCTGTCAACATGGCCCTCCACTACATCCTCCAGCATCTGGACTCCCCAGGAACCTACGCCAGGATCCTGTTTGTGGACTTCAGCTCTGCTTTTAACACTATCATCCCGTCTCTGCTGCAGGACAAACTCTCCCAGCTGCACGTGCCCGACTCCACCTGCAAGTGGATCACAGACTTCCTGTCTGACAGGAAGCAGCACGTGAAGCTGGGAAAACATGTCTCAGCCTCTCGGACCATCAGCACCGGTTCCCCCCAAGGCTGCGTTCTTTCCCCTCTGCTCTTCTCCTTGTACACCAACAGCTGCACCTCCAGCCACCAGTCCATCAAGCTCCTGAAGTTTGCGGATGACACCACCCTCATTGGACTAATCTCTGGTGGGGACGAGTCCGCCTACAGGTGGGAGTCTGACCATCTGGTGTCGTGGTGCAGCCAGAACAACCTGGAGCTCAACGCTCTAAAGACAGTGGAGATGGTTGTGGATTTCCGGCGGAACAGAGCCCCACCCTCCCCCATCACCCTGTGTGACTCCCCTGTCACTATTGTGGATTCCTTCCGTTTCCTGGGCTCCATCATCACCCAGGACCTCAAGTGGGAGCTGAACATCAGCTCCATCACCAAGAAGGCTCAGCAGAGGTTGTTCTTCCTGAGGCAGCTGAAGAAATTCAACCTGCCAAAGACGATGATGGTCCACTTCTACACGGCCATCATCGAGTCCATCCTCTGCTCCTCCATCACCGTCTGGTACGCTGCAGCCACAGCCAAGGACAAGGGCAGGCTGCAGCGTGTCATCCGCTCTGCAGAGAGGGTGATCGGCTGCAATCTGCCGTCCCTGGAGGACTTGTTCGCTTCCAGGTCTCTGAAGCGAGCTAAAAAGATCGCGGCCGACCCCTCCCACCCCGGACATAAACTGTTTGTGCCCCTTCCATCTGGCAGGAGGCTGAGGTCCATCAGGACTACGACCTCCCGCCACACGAACAGTTTCTTCCCGTCGGCAGTCGGGCTCATCAACAGAGCCGGTCCCCCACTGCCTGACTATAACATTCCACCGGTCACTCCCCCTCATACTGCACATGTCACTTTAACTGCAATTCATCACTTTGTCACTTGTCACTTTGTCTCTTGTCTGTTACTTGTTTGTTAGTGCACTTTATGCTTAATACTTTTCTTTTTAACTTTTTAATATTTAAAATTTGTTTAACTTTATTCCCTTGTTTTTTTACTAACCCATAGCCTTATTCTTACTAACCCATTGCATTAGCATTTCATTCTACTTTATTTTATTACCTGTGCACTGTTGTCTTGTCTGTCTACTGTCGCGCACTAACCGCCAAGACAAATTCCTTGTATGTTTGACATATTTTGGCCAATAAATGTTTCCTGATTCCTGATTCCTGAGAAGAAATGAAACCCCAAACTGGCAACAGGCACCATGAGCACATATTGATCACCTCTTACCTGTGGAGGGGGGGCGGGGGAGGGGCGTAAAGGAAAATATACTTTACTGCTGTTGGGTGAAAGAGCAAGAGAAAGGTCCCACTCACACACGATCAGTTCACACATGCCTCCTTCCATCTCACTGACAGTGTACCATCGGGGCAAATAGCACTCGGATCAGCTGTAATCCCTCCTCTCTCGTCTGCAGGTTTACACCACTTCATTACACATGGATTAACGTACTGGAGCTCGCACCTAGAAGCCCGACTTTCAACAACACACGCGCCTGCAAATTACTCACACAGGCCTTCAAAGACTCTCGAGGGGGGATTAAAGGTAAGAGGGGGAAAGCGGGAAATCAAATATCCAAGGGCTCCGCAGAGCATTAGAAGTCACACGGCAATGAAAATAACAGAGGCGCTGTCTGTGTTAGTTTCAATGGCGTGGGATGGTTGACATGTGACGGACGTTCATAATGTCACATCCTGATTTGCTCAATTGAAACAGCTCTCTGGAATTTTATGGATTCCTCTGATAAAGTTTCAATATGATGTATCCATCAGCAAATTACCACTTTGTTACTGTGGTTTCATATAAATGGACCATCATACATCACAATCAACAATGCACTCAGCCTGAAGAGTCACAATGCATTTTCCAGGGCCAGCCTGCTAGCTTATGCTAATTAGCACAAACCCAAATATACAGCAGAGGCTCATGGGACTAGAGTTAGTTGCACGTATATGGATCTAATAGTGCACACGCCTGCACCACAATTCACTCATAACCATTCTAGTGAACACTGTGTTCCTCATGAACCAGTATCTACTTTCCCATGCTGCTCTCACTTCCTGCAGTTGTGAAAACAGCTGTTAATCAATCAACTTTGACGAGCGTGTGAGTGTGTGTGTGTGTGTGTGTGTGCACGCGTTGACTTTCTTCTGGGTGTTGGTTTGAGGAAGCTGTGGTCAGATGTGGTTTGGTCGCTGGGTGGGGAAATGCAGCGAGAGAGTCATATTAAGAAAGAGATGCGAGAGAAATATTAGTGCCAATTGGATGAGCAGAACGGTCCCCAGCGCTCTACAGGTAAAGCAGGTTTTTTATCACTTCTTGAACACCAAGCTTTTCACATTGTGACCATGTCCGTCGGTGTGTGGATAGAACAAACGTGAACAATGTGAAGGTTTAAAAGCTCTACGTTTAAAGTTAACAATGCTCAGGTGTTTGGTTAGTTGTTTTTTTGCGTACAGCCGCAGTTTCGCCACACCAACGTCATTTTATTAACTATTATGTGACTGTAAAAGGAACTGTTAAAATAGCATAGCATTCGAGCTAAACGCTTTACAATAGTGGAATAGGTGTACAGATCTCCTAAATCTATATTCAAATTCATAGTGTTTTTTTTTTTTTCAACAACAACTCCCTGTTAGAAACCCTCCCAGAGGCTACTACCTCTGTGTGGTGAAACTTCATTTGAGATTTCGAGATGGGCGTTTCCTGTTCCTCTTTTCACAGTTGAAACATCCCGACCCTCCCTCTGTCCTCTCATGCTCGGCATGTTTCTCTCCACAGGGTGATTAATGCCTGCCTGACCCGACGGTACTTTTACAGAAGATGAACAAACGTTCCGTTGCCATTAACGGCCCAGCTGATTGTCTTGTGAGCCTCAGAGCGCAGCCGGGAGACCGCGAGACCAGACGAGGGCCGGCTCATGTGGCAGCACGCGGCCAGGAGGCCAGAGAGAAGTCCTCAGCAGTCCCCGCCTCTAGCGCGCCGCCATGTTCTCCTCAGCGCCGGTGGTCGGCCGACTTCTGCAGGTGTGGCGCCTCGGCCATCATTACCGTGAAGAAGGATAAGAAGGAACCGCAGCCTCCTCACCGCGGCGTGTCCCTCCTCCGACCCCGCGCCGCGTCCCATCATGCGTCCAAACGCTACTCCTGCCCCCCCATCGGGGTGTTCGGATCACCTTCCTCCTCCTCCTCCTCCTCCACCTCCTCCTCTACCACTTCTTCGTGCTCCTCTCCTCCTCCCGTCCAGACATCCGTCATCACGGGCAGCGACCCTCTCGGTTGGAAGCTGCGTCCCAAGTCAGGCTCCACGCCCCTCAGGTCTCGCACCAACCGGCTGTCTCTGCAGATTCCCCTCCCAGTCGCCGTCCCTGCGATAAGCTGTAGGGCCGTGGACGCTGGTCACCCAGACCCCTCTGGTGAAAACAAACCCCCTCTCAGACTCAAACCACCACGCCGCCGCCACTCCGACTCCTCGGCCTTCCTCGGGTCCCTGGAGGGCCCTCTTCCCCTGGTGACCCTTGAGGAGCTCCGCGACGTCCGCCTCCGCCAGCTCGCCCTACTGGACGAGTCTGACGACGTCTTCGGCAGGGAGACCGAAGGGGCGGCGGGGCCGACCGCTCGGCCACGCAGCGTCCCACCGCCGGTTCCGAAGAAGACGGCCATGGCGCGGCAAATAGCACAACTGATGAGTCATTCACACCGACGCCGTGGACCTCTCCTGGCTAAAGAGGAAGACATTTACAGCAGCGTTGTGAAGCCAAAAGGTCAACATTCACACCAGACTGAGGACCACAGCGGCGTGAACGCCAAAATCACTGGTAAGCACCGGGAGTCTTTAAAGAACTAACTCAGAGGAGAGATTATATAGCAGTGCAGAGGACGCTTAACTTGTTAGACACAAACACAGGGTCATGATGGTCAGATTTTGCTGTTGAATCACTCTTCTCGACATGGCCCTTCAGTGGCGACCAAAGTACGACTGCAGCGGAGGGAGCATGTGGCTTTGTTTTTTCAGAAGGCCGTCTTTCTAGCGTGGCCACCCTGAATGCTTTTAATTTGAAATCCAAGAACTTTTTTAGAAAGATGCCAGTGTTGTTGTTTTTTGTGCTCCCTATCGCTTTCGTTTCAGCACATGAAGGCAGAGCGGCGCCTGCAGACTGTCCAGGGGTGAATTCTAAAGTAAAACAGCTTTGAATAAGGCCACGGATCATGTTACAGTATACGGCTATAGCTGTAATGAGTACTACTCCTCGTGTTGGTGCGGGTACACATATTGTACTGCATTCAAGGGGTGACACACAACTTTTTCAAAGTTGGCAGATGCCCGACTGGCTTTGGCCCTGATTTACTTTTGATTGATTCCCTTGTATCGTGTGCTGAGAGCAGAGAGGTCGTTCCAGTGCCAGTCGATGGTAACTCCGTCCTCTGTGTCCCTGCAGGCCTCCGCGTGGATGCCAGCGGCGACAGGGAGAGGTCAACGCCACGCTTCCCCGGCTGAGGACACCTCCTCCACCAGGAGCAGTCGTATGCATTACAGCCTGTGTTCTGGCACAGTGAGATGGCAGCGGTTAAAGCGTCAGCCCTCAGAGAAAAAAGGACTGTTGTGATGTGCATGAGCCTTAAGTATCTGCCGTAATATCGGTCTGTTGTGGTAATGCTGAGTTTGTTGATTGCTTTAGTCCACCTTGTCTCCTAAGGTGACGTTTGCTTCCCATACAACTCAACTGCCTTCTCAATTAAATATTTCCTTAAACTCAAAAAGACAAAAAAAATAACGTTATCTTTGCGATAAAAGAATGTTTAGGTTAGGTAACAAGTTATGTGACGAACGTAAAACCTATAAAATAACATGTCGATGACTTTTGTTTTCACAGTTTCATTATTGTGGGCTAAAAACAGTTATCAATCAGTTTTTAACCAAACAATTTGAATCCATTACTCTGGTCTCTGATCGAGTAGGAATGCTACGTGGTGTTATTTGTGATATCATACAGATGATTTAACATGTGAGAAGATCCCTGACCTGAAATGATTGGAGCCATGTGAGTGTAGAAATTGGCTTACTGCTGCTCATAAAGCTTCTTTTGCTTGCTTTAATCAACCTTCCCCACGTCCGATGCCTCCGACAGTCGGCCTGAGTCCGACTAAAGCTCGGCAGACCTTTACCAACAGACCAATTTGACCCGACGGACAAACACACAAGTCCAGCCTGCGTGTGGCTGCCATGTGACTGGAATAGTGTGCGAAGTACACTCGGGTGCAAAGTGCTCAGAGTCTTGCTGCTTATCTGCACAGTCGCATAAACAGAGAAATGGGCTCACGACAAGTTTACACAGACCTGTATAATCACAAAGGAACAGCTGCTCCCCTATGGAAATCGCTGGGATAATTGCAACAACAAAATAACACAACGTGTTATCAATGTGAAAATACTAGTCACACTCGTAAACAATAACAGCCTTACAGATGGCAAGTGAGGCCCTTCAGTGTTTTTACAGCAACACCAGGGGCGCATTTGCACTTAAAACCATTGAAAGGATCCCAAAGACAACGTGAACGGGGAAACCTTGGGCCTGAACTAAGGAGGTAGCAGCTCAACGACACTTCCCCCTCGCTTCCTCTTCCCAGGTTCGAAGAGCATGCATTTGCCTTACAGACTCCTTGCATGTACCAATACTTTCAAACTAACTAAATGTTGCAAATAACTCTCCCGTCGCCGTTGTTACAGAAGCACCCACTCAAGCCCCGTTAGCTTTGAGCAGTGGCAAGGCCACGGAAATGTTCCCAATCCTGTTTTGACTTTGTACACATGCAAATAATAAAATCTGACTTTTTGTGGTAAAGCAAAAATTAAGGGAAACACTTTCCATTAAATAGTATATTTCAAGTTTAAAAGACAGGATTTTACTTCATATTCTCAATTCTCAAGCATTAAATTAATATTACGTCATGGTACTTTTTAGTACTTTAAGTTATTCTCTTTTTAGGCTAATAATTAACTCAAAGTCCATTTACTATTTCCTTTCACAGCTTCCTGAATCAAAACAAGACTTGATGTGACATAATTAGCCCTTGCATTCTATCTATATGAACCTAGTGTAAATATCATCTTCTATAGTGTCATAAGTAGTCATATTCAGTAGGATATGGTACAAAGTAGAAGAAGCCTCTAGAAGAATCTAGAAGTGTTCTAAATGGTAAAAAAGAAGTTTGGATGCAGTCAGCAGTGTGAATGTGGGTTCGGTCCGCTGAGATCATCCTCGCTGTGGGCTGGAAGCAGCGCCGCAGGCAGGTGAGCGGTGGGACTACGGCACAGATCGTCATCCACACATGCAGAGACCCCACACATACACACTCTTTAGCACACACTGCACAAGCAAATCTGAAGCTTCTGCGTCTCAAAGGGGATCACTCCTCTAAATATCGACTGCTTCCAGTCCAAACTAGCTGGTTGTGTAACTGCAGTCTGAACAGCCGTGCTGAGAGCTCTTTGAGTCGAGACGGGACGACGGCTCTAAACTCATCGTTTTAAGACAAACACCATGAGGAGGAGTCGGGTGACAGGAGAGTCCTCACACGGTCACACACAATCCAGCCTTCACTTTGTTGCCTCTTCTCAAACACAGGACGTTGCTTTTCCTTTGCATCCGACCATCAACCCTTTTCATTTCTCCTTCTGTGGTGACTGCTAGCACGAGCTAACCTGACCCGCCACATGGTGCATTACAAAGAACCAGTTTGGAAAAGGCAAAGTCTAACTAAAATCTTTGGTTGCCTAAATTCCAGAAAAGCTCCATTCCGCTTACCATCCAAACATTCCCTGGCTTAGTGCCAGCTGACCCAGAGGGTTCATTCAATTGATTTGGACTTTAGTTGTTGTGGGAATCTTTTGAACAAAAAAGCCTCCCTGGTGTGAGAAGGTCTCCAGTAATTAAATAATTTAAGCATTTTGCTCCGTAGCTTCTGCTCTCTTTGTGCCAGTCGATAACATGAACAACCTCATCTGTGTGTGTGTGTGTGTGTGTGTGTGTGTGTGTGTGTGTGTGTGGCGCCGCGTATATGCATGTCTGTGCTTGTCACGTAAGCGAGAGTTGTCGAAGGTCAACATATGAGGTTCTTATGTGTACAAGGGGTTAAGGGCTTCGAGCTCTTGACAAATTACGGTTAATTCATGTTTTTTACGTGCAAAAATAAATACAGGAGGAAGGATACATGGAAAACTATTTTGGCACCTTTTTTATCTTTCCCTGCTACAGGTTGGCCTTATGCGTAAGCTCATCAGTACTGCACAGCTATGACAGCTACGGTTGGCTCATTTCTTCTCCATATTTTGCAGCTCTTAGAAGCCTTTAATCACATTATGTCATTTCAAAGAACAATAACTCTCATAGAATTGAAGCAGTATAGCTTCTGCATCTGGGTCACAACCACTGTCGGGACAAAGTTTTAAATGAATACTTGCAGTAGTACTGTGCAGGTTACTGTATGATGCACATGATGGGTGCATGCCCATGCTCATCACGTGGTGGAGAAGCTGCTGGATGAGAGCTGTTTATACGGGGCGTTTAACTTTAAACTGTCCACCCTGGCACACCACTTGAATTACAATATGCTTAAGCTTATTATGACATTTTTGCCCAATGAAAATGGTCTCCTCAAGCCTCAATTGTAACCCGACCAAAACGGTCGTCATAATTTGGAAATCAGTGTAATCACAAATGTTGGAAGTGATAGTCGTGGCGTAGGTAAAAACTCAAAGAATAAGGACATTTGCAATTATTAACAAGTGGTCGTTACAACAAACAAAGTTTTGATCAGCAGGTCCGGGGGTTGTCATGCAGAGTTTTATGTTTTACTACAGTAATCATAGAGGTTAATGCGCTTTGTGTGTGGGATGACGACGTCCCCTTATGGCCTCTGTTCCTTGTATTGAGCACACCGAACTTATTTTACTCTCAGCAATGTCGCAAATGCATCTCAACGCAATTGGAGCACAAAGAGAATAGATTTTCAGGCAGAACAAGACGTGTATCCAATCTCCCTCTGTAGTGAAGCAGCCGTTATTCTCCCGGGATTCTCTTCCAACATAATGAAATTGTCTTAGGGACTCGAGGCGCATCCACACAGAGCACCTGCATGTTAAACTAGCAGCACTTGTTTGTAACAAGGTACATGCCTGAACGAAGATTGATTGTTTCTGTTGCCTCCATACTTTTACAACAACGGTCTGCATCTATGAGAATCAGTACAAATCAATCAATCAAAAAAGAAATCTAATGTGAAGCGAAGAAAAAGACTGGACTCAGTGAAAGTAACATGGAGGATCAAAAATCAGCTGTGGTCATGGTCACAGATAGTATGGGCAGGGAACAGGAAGGAAGGACGAGTCCATCTCTTTATCATCCAGATGCTCTCCGACCCCCTCCTCCCCCCACGCTAATGGATTTACACTGCAGAAGACGTCCCAGTGAGCAGATGGCCTTGAACACCCATATGTGAAGTGAGAGCTTCTACACCCAACTGGGTTGAAGCTCAAATAGGTCACGTGGAACGCTTTTCATTTCATTACACTAGATGAATAATTCTGCCGTTTTGGTAGCTTTCACGTTTGTTTTCTGCAGAATTAAATGTGACGGTTGGTGGGAGAATTCATGAAAGTCAAAGTATTTGGATTTTTTACTTAGTAAACAATAATAGTGTTTAGTAAGCCGTGGAGGACATGATGAATACGACATATAACAAAGATAGATGATCAAAGGGACTTGGGGGGGAAATAATGTGTTGGATAAAGGAAGATTTATTAGCCAAGCCCAATTCTGATATTTGACACGTCAAGTAATACACAGGCAGTACAGAGAGTACAGCGAATGCTATTGCTTCATAATTTCAAATCAAGCAACAGAATAAAAAAATGAAAAAAAACAATAAGCGGACCTTGTGCAATACATCACCTCATTTAGTTCCATCCTCTGTTCCTGTTTGAACCCATTATTGGATTTGAAACTAAACACCTGTTCCTCCTGGGTTCCCTGATTGCTCAAACCTCGCAGTGCGATCAGAGATGCTCCTTTCAGGAATACGAACAAGCCGAGACGAGCTGATTGTGTTCTCTGTGACTTCTTTTACACTCATTCCATAGAGAAGCAGTCAGCTCAGAACACTGGAAAACCATCCAGCTCAGTGGATCCAGGACAAGGAGCCATTTAGGTCACAAAAGGTAGGAAACATGGCACTAACTGGATTCTGGCCGTATAATACAACATAAGAAAAGATAAGCTAGCTTGTGTGTAATCAACCGGTCAGTCTCGCTCCTTTCCAGGCAAACATTAAGTCAGCTTCACCAAAAAGAGGCCCCGATTGCGTGTCAGTTATAGTGTAACCTTGTTAGCTCCCTAAACGGACGGGATTCAGGTGAAGAAATGCAGCAACACTCAAGGTCAAAAAGCTGGCTCTATTAATTTCACCAAACTAAACCAGACTGGCACATTTATAGACTAAATCCAAGAGGTCTGGTGGTGAAGAAATGTAGGATTTTAGTTAAAGATTCACAGATCTTTCCAAATTTGCGCCGCGTTTTCAGCATAAATATGCAGCGTTTTAACACTCACCTACTACGTTCTTGGGTGGGAGGCAAAACAATTGTATTGATCCATTAATGGGACCAGATGGAAAGGAAAATATGAAAATATGAGTTCTGAAAGATTTGGTCTAAAAAAATCCATCCATCAGACTTTGCTGCTTTGTATTGCTGAAATGTTTTCCTTTGAGGTTTGAAGATGAAAGACACGGTAGAGAATATCTTCAAAGATTGATGGGAACTTAATACATTTTGAATTGATGGTCATTTCTTCCCCACTTTTGCACGGGCTCGATTATGAAAGTTATTCCGAAAACAACTTGATGAGGGTAAAAGAGCTTAAAATGTTTGGTGTAACGGGGAAGACGGACTGCTATGGAGCTATTCCTCTCCTTTATGCCTGCGACACACACTCCTGTAATGGCCATATTGTGCCTTTGACCTCACTCTGGAGTTGATCAAAGGAGAGTAATGCACCGACAAGGGACGAGGGGAAAGGCACCAAATGGGGCAGGAGACGGCCGGGAAAATCACATGGGAGCAGAGACAGGCAGCGACTACAAAGGGACGGCTCCATTTGGGGGGGAAGTGAGCTCTAATGTTTGATCATTAGCTGCCACTGTGGCCATCGTTCATCATCCGAACGCTGTTGTGAGTGCAAAGCAGTGGTGTTTCCACATCGCTTGCAGTGGAAGAAAGACTTTCAGTGAGCCCCATCCAAACTAATTTATGTTTCCACATCAGGGGATATCATTCAACATTATACAGCGTGGGATCCTAGAATTATATTAAACAACAATTTGTAACTGTTGGAGCTCTCAAACAGGAAGCATCTGTCACCGACATTCAGTTTGCCAGAATCCTCAGTCCAGGCAACCGGACACCGTATTGCTGGTATAAGGAGTTAAAATATGGTGCTATCCAACTCTGAACATGGTTAATACACCAAATAACCACAACATTAAATTTCCCCTCTTATCTGATAGAGATGCACCGATACTGACCAAAATAGCTGGATCAGGTGTCAGTGACAAAGGCCAATCCGGATAGCCAAAGAATGATCAAGGTACAGCTTATTAATAAACACTGGTATCAGAGAGGCAGTCTGACCGACACCCAGGGCTGTAGTGGAGGGTAAACGCACGTAAACGGCGTTTACGCACCTCTGGAATTTTGGAAATAGCGTTTACGCACCTATAAGTGGCGTTTACGCACCTCAAAGTTCCCTGCGCCTTGTATTCTTCCGTTGGAATAATCCGAAATAAACTTGGTGTAATTTTAAAACAGCTAAGACTACGTTTCCTATTGTTGAACATATAAATGCCGTAGTCTGAATCATTTTCATCTGCGCTGTATTACGGTCTGTGAGCATCCAATCAGTGCCTTGCGGCTGCAGCAGCGACACCAATCAGGATCCAAGAGGTGTGTAAACACATACACGCTGTGGATCAGCCCAGTGGTCCCCAACCTTTCTTACCTCACGGACCGGTTTCATGTCAGACAATATTTCGCGGACAGAGAAGGTCCGTCGGGGGGGGGGTTGTAGTAGTCGTTGCGGGCGGAACGACCGACGGGGGGGGGTAGTAGTCGCGCGCTCTGTGTTCGCTGGTCGTGCACGGTAAAAGGACAAGAAAAACGCCTGGTGACGCGCGCACATAATTAGGAGAAAATCTAGTCAATGTTCAAAGGCTCTGCCTCCCCTGTCATCATGAGCGGGGAGCAAAGCTGTTGCTTCACTGAATAGGCCTATATGCTTAATCAATTATTTGAAGTCATGAAAGGTGTAGAGTAGCCTGTAAGCGTTAGAAAACAAGTCAGTTCTCAATGTGAAAACAAAACATGCTGTAGGCTATTTATGATGACATAGGTAGTACATGAGTGTTCCTTTAACTTATGTTGTCAGTGTAATTGACAGGCTGCTTAACTGGTTAACTCTTAAATTCAACATATTTTTTCAGGCAGTGAGAGGACAGGCAAGGATGCAGAGAGCACAGGGAGAGGAGAAACACCAGGTCGAATAGAGAGAGAAGCACAGGCAAGGCAGGACCTGACGTGGAGGACAAGGAGGCCCTCTGGGCACTACTGTAAAAAGGAGACTCCGTATGTACATAGTTCTTAATCTGCAATTGTCTTGTTGTGTTGTGTTGACAAACTTTTCTTTACTGTTTTCTTCAATTTAATAAACTACTAACACATGTATTCATTGTCATTGATTGTATATGACTTTTACTGATAACATAATGCAATATAGCCAGGACAGCCTTACAGAGTTGCGACGCTTTGTGTTGCGTTGCTTCGCATCGCGTCGAGGTCTGTATGATCACAAAATTCAGAGTTTACCCACCTCTAATTTTACCACTACAGCACTGCCGACACCCAAAGCTGCCAAGACATCCCTCTCCCCACCAACGCCTTCCAGCTCCTCCCAAGGCTTCGCCAAACCAGACGTACCTGCATCCCACACACGGACCACCTCAGCACGTTCCTTTTGACACAAAGCAGAAGCTGTTCCCATCGCTCAGCGCAGCAAAACACTAGGGAGGAAAATCACGTTGGCAGCTCGGCCTCTACACAAAGCTCATGACCATTGGTGAGGTTTCGCACTAATGCAACGGTTTTCTTCCTAAGCGCAAGTTACTGCCAAAGCACACACCCATCTGTCGACCTCATTCTTCATTCCAGCCTCATACGGGGAAATGACAACAACACTTTAACTCCTTGAATAGGAGCAGGAACTCACTCCCAAACCTGGAGGTGTGGAATAAATTAATCACCATTGAATAAAGAACACCTTTCACAGAAACTACTTTTTGGGAACAAACTAAATAATGCGGTGGTAAAAAAGAAGGGTGGGTGGTGGAGTGTGCTGGTTCTTACCCGGATGTTGTCGAAGGACGCTTTGTTGGTGACGTCATAGAGAAGGAGGAGAGCTGAGGAGGCAAAGAGTGGGAAAAGAGTAAGGACATGAGAGCAAAAAGGAAACAATCTGCATCACAAAGTGAGCATGGCTAAAGGCTGCATGACACAACAAAACGAGTGGAGCCGAGTCACAGTCCAGGAGTCCCAATGCCTGATTGGTCAGACTGCCTCCATGTAGTTTTATAAAACGCATTTGATCCATTAAGAGTTTTCTATTCGTAATGATGAAAACAAACATGTGCTAATGTTGTTTCACACCTACAGCCTCAGTGTCGCCTCTTCAGTGTTCTACAACAGCAGATTTGGCTTAGTAACGTTAGTTGCTCACGGTAAACACTGCAGTACTGGGAGTGTCAGGCCCTTTCCCATATTCCAGTACTTCCATAAATACAAAAGAAATGTGATTACAATAATCACAAATCAAAATATAGGTAAGTTAGACAAGTTAGGCTAAAGCAACTCCTCACCAGAAACACAACATTTCAACCATTTGTTTATAGACATGTTGTGTTATCAAATAACTTTTTTAAAGAAATCTGATCAAAATGGATTTAACTGAAGTATAAACATTATATTTTTTATTCTGTGGATTCTGCTTGCTGTCAAACTCTGCTGACTACCCACAATGCAACTCAGGTGTCTTTCAGATTCTGGTGTGCTACGCTAACAGAAGCAAATGTAGCCTGATTAGGCAGAGATGAAGAGCTTCCAAGGTCTGGTAAGGCATCTAAAATGCATTCTGTCAGCATCTTTGACCCACTCCCATCACCTCCCCTACCTGCTGTAGCTAAAGACAACCAATAATCATGGGTTGGAGATTGTTTTGTCAATTGTTGTTTCAAAAAGGTAAAGAATGCACTTTCCATTTTAGTCAAGTCCAAGTTCAAGACGTGCTCAGACAACCGAAATGAGAGCTACAACAAATCCATGACAAGATGACAAATGCATTGGATACAATAGAAAGCTGCAGAAAAACTACTGTTGAGGTAGTTGTTTAAACATGACCAAGGCAGTAACCGCTGAGGTGGATCAGAATATTTGCCGTAATGCTTATGAAGGATTAGGAAGGTTTGGTAATTTAGATGTGGACTTGTCTTTTGGATCAGTTTATGATGCTGCTGCAGCTCCGATATATATTAACATGATGAGAAACCTTTTTCAAGCACTGTGGGTATTTTGATGCAAATTTAGAGCTTGCTGAGTGTTTCTCAAATGAGTAAGTGTGCCCAAACTTTCACTAGTACTTTATGTTCTTTTTATAATCATAAATGTTTGTTTGCTCAGAAATGGGTTACTCCTTAGTGGTACATTCCCAATAAACGTCATCAATGAGTTAAAGCAACAGAAAGAACGGCCTGTCCTGTTGTCGAAAAACACTTCCACTGCTAGCTGAGCAAAGTGCAGAGCACTCCAATTGAAACCAGCATTAGTATCACACATTAACCAGATGTGTGAGTTCTAATTACCTCCGAGTGCACCATGCTGCCGTGCAAAATAACCTCAGGAGGGGCTGTTTTAGCACAAGATGGAAGACGTGCATTGTGAAGCTCCATCAGACAAAAAAGCTCATCACACCTACGAGGGCAATTGTAACCCATTTTCTCAGCTGTATCAACGTTCACCTGGGATGATCAGTCCATACTTATTACATCCGCGGCACAATCTTCTCCATCTCCATCATTCCAACACAGTTTTCTAACCCCTACGTACACCTCTTTTTCCCTCTCCAGCCCTCAACCACGGCTGCAGTTTCACCAATCTATTTTGGATTTAGCCGGACGAGTCTGTGAAGGGTGTTTAATGAGTGGTTATCACCCGTGTGCATGGCCCAGCGGTGTCGAGCTGAAAAACAACACATGGAGTGGGGCGACAAGAGGGAGGTGTAAAGAAAAATCCAGAGGGAGAGAGAGCGATGACCTGCCCCGTGAGTTCACTTCCTCCCGCGTGGCTCTTGTGTTTATCCGCCGCCAGAAAATCAGAGTGAACCACGAGGAGATGCTCTCTTTCACCCTCCACTAATCCAATTACATGGCAGAGGACAGACAAAGCTGGAGAGCCATCTCAGAGCAGCAGAGGCGCAGGGTGTTGACATTGCAGGCAGTTGTGTTGCGGTTGAAGCATAATGTACCAGACGGACAGAAAGTGCTTTGTGTAGTAGGAAGTAGGAAAGCTCAAGGGCAGACGAAGAGACCGAACAAATCTAGAAGACTGTGATGCTGAGAGAAGTACTGTAGGAGGTGCACACAGGGTGAGACAGAAAGGTGAGGAAGATTAACTGGGCCAAAGGCAGGGGGACATGTTGATGGATTGACCTTTAACCACACAAGAAACAGAGAAACGAGCACATCCTGGCAGGAGCCATATGCTGATGAACGAGGCCAAAGGACAATATGAAGTGCACCCACCAGCCACAGCTCCCTGGACTATCAAAGCACCCGCATGGAGGGGTTTGATGGAGTGAGGAGATCCATAAAGTGCGCTGCTATCAATCATCTCTCAAATGATAATCTGAGTAAATAATCACGGTCTTATTGTGGCTGCTCTGCTTTGAGTTTATAGAAGACATATCATGGTAAGCACGCATACACATATAAATGATGGAGAGAATGGAAAAACAGAGAGAGAGGGAAAGGTTGGCAGGTGGTTATGTGAGGGTGAACAGGATGAGAGGATTGATAATGCGGTCATGTCTGTCCACTACACGTGAAGCTAAAGCAAAGTGATGGTTAGCTTAGTTTAATAGCATAAATACGAGAGCAGCAGCTAAGGATCAATAATAAATGTTTGTTTAAAAATAAACAAAAAACGTGGTGTAAAAAGCACATGTTCAGAGTTTGGAGGCTTATGTGGGAAACCATTGCTTTGAACAGTTTTATAAACTGAGCTTATAAGCAGCTGACAATAAATTAACTTTTTTACAATCAAAGCAAATATTTGAAAATAAATACAAGAATTAATTTTGAATGAACTGTATTTTCATTAGAAAATCAAAGTAAAAGGATATCATTTAGAATTGTTGTGCTACTCTATGCTAACCACTTGCTTCATGTAGCTTCACATTTAGCGTTCATTACATTTAGTATACAATTTCCCTTACTATTCCTAATTCATTCTTCATGAAATAACGTTGACAATACTCACATTGTACTTTCACTTCAATAAAACATTATTTGCAATACTTGTACTTGTATGTCTTAATGCAGGGGTGTCAAACTCAAATACACAGTGGGCCAAAATTTAAAATTAAACAAAACCAACGTTTAACAAACAATTAAGCCTTTTAACATGAACCCAAACAAGTTTTGCTTTAACATTGAATATGGAACAAGCAACGCTTCTATAACTTAATAGTGCAGACATGCAAAATCGATTTCAAATTTAAAAAAAAAATCATATCAATGGCATATTAAATAAAATTTAATTAAAAATTGTATGCCTCTTTGCTATTTGCAGCCTTCTGAGGTAAATATCAAAATAAACTTTTTCCTTCCCTGTGGTTGTGCCATGCATGGATTTAAATCCCAAAAGATCCTCTGTAACACACGGATTTGAGTCCACTCTGCGGATGAACACTGACAGCTGCGCAGTGTCAGACGCGTCGGTGCTCTCGTCCACAGCAAAGGGAGAAAGAAACTAAATCTTTTCCCTTTTCCATCAGCTGGTCATACAGATTGGTGGCAAGATCACAGGTGCGCTCAGCTACTGTGTTCCTGCTCTGGTTCACATTTGAAAAGGCTTTTTCTCTGGGCACACCTGGTCAAACTTTCATAATGCACTTTTTTTTTTTTTACAAACTCTCCCTCATTAAAGGGCCCGGCTGATTTTGCGATTTCTTCTGCCACAATATAACGAGCCTTTACAGTAGCCTTTTGGCTTTTTTGACCATATTCTGTTGTGAAACCAAACTTCTTTTCATCTCCTCTACTTTCGGTAACTCCTTAGTTACAGACAAGACAGACAGTCTTTTAAACAGATATTATGCCTCCCACTTGTCCAGAAAAGTTCTGTTTTCTGCCTTTCTTTTCGCCATTTTTGGGAAGGGGTAACACGGTGACAGTTGTAGTATGAGGTTGGGGCGTGGTCTGGGAGGCGGGGTGAGCGTGTCTGGGTCCTGTCCTGATTGACGCGCCAAAACAACAGCAGAGCATTATGGGATTTAGCGGTGAAGGCACCGCCGCTGTATAATACCGGCGGGCCAGCTCTAATAGTAATTGGATATTGCCTCGCGGGCCAAATATAATTACACTGCAGAGTTTGACACTCATGTCCTAATGGTATCGCCACTGTAAGTTCCAGTTTTCTACAGTAACTTTAGGTAAAGCTTCTGCAGTTTGAGAAGCTAAAGTCGTGGTTCAGAGGTGACGTTTGCCAGATTATTTCCATCAACAACAGTTAAGTACCAAATGTCGCCCCGCCCACTCCATTATTGCCTCGATAATTGAAAACACACCTTGCTCCAAAGTACATTGGCTAAAGAAAAGCTAGTGTCTATGAGTGAGATATCTGACTGTTGAGTTCAAATGTATTCCTTCTGCGTCCCCTCCTCCAATCGCCTCCATCACTCCTGCTACAGCAGCGCTCGTTGCTTCTACCTGTTCTTCAAGCTGAGCACGGTCCATCTTCGAAAAGGCCGAATCAATCACGGCGACGAGCAATTACTAAATTGACGCGGCGTACTGACAGCTGAATCCATGAATGTTTGAAGCCATTCTTTTGGGAAAAACGTTAAAGAGAAATGACCAGGCGAAGCGTGTGGAATAGGATAGCTGGGTCAATATTTGAAGGCCACTCATTGAGGCGGATATTATACTGTATGAACAATTAGCTCAATGGGGAGTTTAAGCGTGTGGACACACACACACACGCACACACACACACACAAAAAATGCCCTTGACTTTGTCCTTGCACGTCTGCTTTTTAATATGCAGGAAGCCGGATAAGTGTGTGTGTGTGTGTGTGTGTGTGTGTGTGTGTGTGTGTGTCAATGAACACCAAGGTAATCGCTTAATCTGTATTTAGAATAAAGACAGAAAAACCCAAGGAATACGGCTCATTATTTTAGAAAGAGGATAAAATAAGCCCTCTGCGGGGGTCAGGGGGGAACTGAAGCTAATCAGAAGACAAAACCCGCTATGAAGGAATCGAAGCAGACGAAGCGCTTCATACCAAGCGACCCGTTAATTCATTTCACCACCATTTGAAGTATTCTCGCGTTCGGCAGCCTTTACTCGCGCCGTGAAATGTATCATTACTGTCATGCTGTTTCCTACCACTCATCATGTGGTTTTCTTTCCCTGCGATAAGGTGATGGTAAAAGGCCGCTGGAAGAGATTTGTTTTGAGCTGAAAGGTCCATCATCTCATATCTATGTCCGAAAGTGAATGATATCACAGAAGGAATGCAGGTGACATGCTCTGCATTGGGTGATTCCTTAAGGAAAACAGTGTTTCAAGGAACCCATCAGTCACATATTATCTGTCACGGGGGATAAGTGCATGAAGGGGGCAGGTTTAAAGCTGCTCCCTCGCGTATTTTACCTGATAACACAACCTTGAATTAAATTATTCTTTAACTGCTCTGCACTCTTTACAGGGTGCCGCCGTCTATTGAGGCTGAATGCCACTTACTTACTGTACGAGCTCTTCAATGATCTCTGTCTATCCTCATTCATGCTGCCCTCTGTCCTTACTTCGATAGATTCATATATTTGGGGTTTTCCATCCTGGAGAGCTAAAGACAGGTCCGTTGCACGTTTTTCCTTTCTTGATTTGATGAATCAAATTCATCTTACCAAATATTCCTTCACCTATTACCTTGTTTGCACTTGAACTCAGAATATCCTCGCTATTAAATAATCAATATCCTTTTATGAATATTGTTAAAGGCTGCAATGTTCTTTAATTCAAAATAACACGTGTGAAGTGGCAATATCACAAACATGAACTGCAAGAAAGTATATTTTAAGAGTCTGAAATTGTCAAGAAACTTGGGCAAGCAGGCTTTCAGCACTGCAGTGTTTTTTTCATACTTGCTCACTGCGTCAGATGATTCACACCCAATATGAATTACCAAACACAGAGTGACGCCGGATATGCATCCGCCTCCAACAGAGAGAAACAGGCCGCCAAGCACACATGTGTTCTCAAGGAACGAGTTATGACTCATTTGCTGTAGAATATGCTATTTTAGCATCAGCAGTGACATCACTGGCAGGCTAGAGATGCTCCTGTTGCTGGCAGCCTGCGACCACGACACTTTCACTGGGACTTGTGGACATTTTTCGGCTCAGCACCTTATGTGCTCAAATCTTTTTCTCAACTAATAGCAGATGGCGGGGGAGCTGTTTGCTGGATGAGGACTTGGGTTGCAGAGAGGTGGGGGCAACCTAGATCTGATGTCGCAGCAAAGCAGTTGTTTTATCCTTTTTGGACGGTGGAGTCCTCTCATTGCCGGATCTTTACATTTCAAAGTGGGAAACAGACGGGCCAATCAGAAAAGCTGGTTCGGTGCTCCCTGGTGACTTGTTAAAAGATCTGTGAGGGTAAACTGTTACGTTGGCGGAACGGAATGACACCGGGCAGCTGGCCTGCTCCGCACGCACACACAGCAGTTACCGATCAAACACAACTCCATACAAGGGCCTAACTATTAGAACACAAACATGCAGACACAAGGTGATGCATAGCGATAAGACCGTCGAGGTGCTGGTTTGTATGCAGCCGAATGAGTTTCAGATAAAAGGTGAACAGCGGAGTTTGTGTGTGTGTGTGTTCCACAACACCTGCTCGTTGAGGCCGCCCCCGAGGCACACCGCTATCTGCGCGCAGTGGGGTTGCTTTTTGATATTACTGGCACACACACATAAAGAAAAAAACTCGGCAAAGACACACGGGAATAGCTCACAGCTGTACCAACCCCCCCATGTGTGAGAGACAGGCTCATCTCAAACCCAGCGGTTAGTCTTTCTCTCTTAAGGCAACCTGCACAGAGTATGGCGGCAAATCACTGTCAAAATTCAAGAGCGCAAAACAGGTTGATGCGCGCGCGTAAATCAAACATCCGCGAGCAAATCTCCGTCTCGCGCGAGTGATTTTTGCTCGCTCGCGAAACGTGAACTTCCTCGCTCGCGAGGTTAGTCTCTGCTCGCGCTCGAAGGGGTTTTCTACGCGCTCGCTGTTTTTCTTTTTGACAGTAAGGGGGCGGAGCCAGTCACAATGGTATCTACATCTGATTGGTTACAAACCCCGTCTTTGGATTGGCTGGAGTGATGCATTCACACAACTATAGAAGCTCATTTCCGCACTAAAGAAAGGGGATGGAAAGTCGAAATTTTGAGATAAAATGTTGTCAGAAAACAAACGTCCCCCTTCGGTAATCGTAGTGGACCGTAGATGACAACCAGCTACAACCATCATTTACCATCATTACCGGCACATTAAGAGCAATGCGTCCAGCTCGCAGACCGGTCTGTCAGTCTGAATCTGAATATCTTGCCAACTTTACCGAACTATGCAGGAGCCTGCGCATATCTTGTATATCATATATCACATTCACTACAACCTCATTCGATCCTCAAGTCGATCCGTTGGAAAGTTGGCAAGATATTCAGATTCAGACTTTTTTTTCCCGGTATTTACAAATACGGACCGGTCTGCGAGCTGGACGCATTGCTCATTAATGTGCCAGTAATGATGGTAAATGATGGGAAATGATGGTTTGTAGCTGGTGGTCATCTACGCTCCACTACGATTTCCCGAAGGGGGGCGTTTGTTTTTTTTATCTCATAATTTCGACTTTCCATCCCGTTTCTTTAGTGAGAGATGAACTTTTGCTCGCGGATGTTTGATTTACGCGCGCGCATCAACCTGTTTTGCGCTCTCGAATTTTGACAGTGATTTGCCGCCATAACAGAGCCTCTGGCGGATGCCTGCACATGCAGACAGGCACACGCTCATTCCACCAAATTAGCAACTTGAGTGTTTGTTTTGCTATCCCAACGGGGAAGAGGCAGCAACAGGGAGACGGTCGATGTCAATCACACGCTCGACGAGGGATGTGAGACAGCTCGGCTGGCTCAGGGGTAAACGGCAGGTAGAGGGAAGGATGTCAGTCATAATAATAGGCTCACAGTACTAGGGCTGGGTACCGAAAAACTGTGCCATATTGGTTCCTTTACGACCGGTACCAACCAGACCGGAACGCAACACGGATTTCGGTGCTTCCTTTCGGTGCCTGAGATGATTGAAATACTTACACTACTCTGATGGCTACGTCCTGGCAGCAAGCAACTTTTTTACAGCTACAGTAGCCAGCCAGCCATCTACCTTCTATTTATATTAATTCATCATTATTGAATTGATTGAATTATTAAATTCATTTTTTTTAGTAAAGTTTTAAGTAAACAAGTAATCAATTCTGTCACGCAATAGAAAAACTAAATGCTGCTTAATGCAGCTCTTCTGTGTTGCACCTGCTGCAATCGTGACGTCAATAAGTCGAGACAAACAAGGAGCGTCAATCGCACATAAATGATTTGGAATATAGTTCCTGCACAAATTTGCATACTGAATGCATACTTTAATCAGTTCATATACTCTTTCCTTGTAATTAAAAAGCCTTTTGATGTCAATTATCATTTTGTGCTTTTTTTGGTTCAGGCAGAGTTTAGGCCCATAGTATTGTTTCAAAGTATTGTTTTAGCACTGTTATTGGAAAAAAAACTCAAACAACACCCTACAGAGTACCCAACACGGAGAGTTCCTACCGTTGGCATCGCGGTAGTAAGCATGTGTGACGCTGCGGAAACGCTCCTGTCCAGCGGTGTCCCAGATCTAAAAAATAAACAACAAAAGCACATCTTAGTTATAGGAATCACTATCAGAGTATGGAGCACGTCTCTGGGAAGCAGCTGCTACTTCCTTTGTTACAATGATTAAGTAACTACAAGTCATTTCTAGAGGTGCTGAAAACATACGCTCTCACTTCAGACTCATCAAATACAGCAGCTTTCAGTCAGCGGCCTTGGGCTTCAAACTATTAGCTTTTTTGTTCTTATATATTGTTGTTTAGTTAACACTCCACATGCACATAAACTTGCACTTTCACGTACACTCACAATATAGTTCAGTACGGTTATTGGTTTGCCTGTGCACTATTTTTTTTAATTTTATATTCCTCTAGCATTTATACTTTCATCTGCAGCCACCATTATATTCCTTTATTTGTTTTTTCCGGATTGATTATTTCTTTGTCGCTTTTTAAATTTAAGTCCAGGTCCTTTGTTCTAATTGGAAAAAACGTTTAATATACAGAAATCCAGTTAATTTACAGGTAATGAACTCATCCGAAGAGGATGCTTCTTAAAGCAAAGTCAAAAACAAAAAAGAATGGCCAGCAAACTGTAAAGAGGAAATTCTATTGCGATTATTAAAACTCATTTAAACAAGTGTAGACGTAGTGCTGATGCTTATACAGGTCCCCGTAGCTCTTTGGACATTCAAAGTATCTTTCTGCTCATTGTTTTGGTTTCACAGCCGTCAAATTTAATATTTAGACTCCTGAACACCCTCATTGGTTTCCAAAGAAAGATCCACTGTGTGCTACCTGCCCTGTTAGTGGTTATCTGGGGGACATAGTGGAGCATTTAGCTATTAAAGAAACAATGAGGGATTTGAATGAGGGATAACGTTTATGTATTTATGGCGAATGTGTCACGGTGCAGCTGTTAATAAGGTGTTGTTTTTATAGCTTATTGTGCTGCCCCCAAGTGGCCCACAACATCTGCTGGTTTAAAAATTGGACTTGTGCCGGACTCAGAGATGTCTGAATTTATTATCAGTTTAACAAGTTCTAAGAAGTTAAAATGTGTGAATATGCCTACCACTTGCATTAAACCCATTCCTGTGAAATCATTTTACAGATATGAACACACATCCATTAAAGATGAGAAAGACTGAGGCAGCGAGAGTGTGAGTATTGTGCAAATGATGTGAAGAACTCATCAGACAGTATCGGAGCTGTTTTTCCACAACGAGGATTCCCTCTCTGTTTATCGCTGATAACTTCCTGGCCTGATAAGCCGATGGAAAGTCTGTTATTGCCTCTAGTGTCTTCAGTCAGGCAGGGCCACAAGCTAATTGACTGATGGAGATTAGCTCAGGCCTCATTAAGTCGGCGTTTGGGCGTCTTCGCCCTCCCACAGCAGACCGGGAAGCTGCATAGAATGTATGTGGCTAAAAAGAACGCACACATATCTTTGACTCCAGGAAAGCAGACTCTTAAGCCTTCAAATAAAGACAACGAGATGTATTGCTCTTACCTGGAGTTTGACCTTCACCGCATCAATGCTCATTACTTTGTTCTGAAAGATAAAATAAAACATAATGTCATACAGTAGGAAGCAAGGGAACAGGAACACAAAAAACAACAGAACTTCATACAAATACTTACGCTTTCAATACAGGTGTATTATGGTTTGCCTTATGAAACAACAGCTGGTTTTTAAGGGCTTGGCCTCTACTCCGGCGCTCTCTTCTATCACTGTGATATTAAACTGTGCTATGTAGGGTTCTATGAACACACACACACACACACACACACACACACACATCTTATTTTGATCAAGACCTTTGTTTCATGGAATTTCATCATTTACCAAAACTGTAGCTGCCAAGTAGTTAAACATAGCACACACACACACACACAAGCTGTCCAATACCTCAGCGATATCTTTTCATGGGGAAAGTAATTGGCTGTACGGATCGTTTCACATGACACCAATGCATTACTTCTAATCTCTTTGACTACACAGAGAGCGGATCTAACTTTGCCATCTATCACAACGCGGGATATGATACACTTGGCAAACGTGATTGATGAGCAAAAGGCCTCGGTCAGGACCCGGTGGGAATATGAATAGCCACGTGTTTCATACGGAGACAGGTTGAACCGCTGCAGGCGTCAAACACGTTTCACGTCTCTGCATGTTCATTTTATCTTGTTATCCGCCGCACATCCTTGATGAGGATGATGATCCCTTGACACAGTACACATATGCGCACTTCTGATTGTCATCCCTTATCTGCCAAGCAGGATGCCAGAATTTCTGCATGCAGATTAAGGCTGCATTTGCTCTGGTCTCCCTTGGAGGATTAGACCAGAGATTTGCAATCCAGTCACATGCTCACAGGTCTTGGTTGGGCCAACGATGAGGATCTTAAGGAGGTTAAACTGCAGAATCAGGATCTAGTTAAAAGGATAGCTGCCACCAGATTGGAGGGTGCGTTTCTTTCTAGGCATATCAAATTAGGATCAGAAGAGAACAGGTGGAAGTCATTTATTTTAACAAAGTGGGTATCTGTTGAAACTAGGGGTGTAACGATTCATCCACTGAATCGATTAATATTCCTGCGATCCAACTGAATCGATCTGTGCTCCGCAAAATCGGCATTCCGGACGACATATATGGATTACAAATTGATTGAAATGGTACATAATCGATTGTATCGATACTTGGAACTGCACATTGGATTAAACTACAAAAACTGTATGGATGTGTGTTTGTTTGTTTGTTTTTTAGCACTTTAGACACGTTAAACGTTACTGGATTCAGTCTGCCTGTCTGTGACGTCATCAGTACGCAGCGGCAGCCGCGCGAACAACAACAAAACACAGCGTGGAGGAGACGACTGCGAGCAAGACATTTACAAACCAACTTATCGATCCAGCGTGTGGAAACATTTTGGCTTTTGCAAACACGGAGGTGTTCTAAATAAGTCGGTTGCTGTTTGTAGAATATGTAGAAGACAAATAAAAAACCACGGAAACTGTGGGATTAAACAACGCCGACAGTCAGGCACCGCTGCAGCAGCAGCAGCAGGTAACTCCAGCTCTGCAGACACCTCAGGCCTCGCCAGCACGAAACTCGGCATCACAGTAACAATTGCCAAGTTTATCTGTAAAGACATGCGACCCTACAATGTGGTTGAAAATCCGGGGTTCTGTGAATTGATCCAAACATTGTGTAATTATTGTGTAATATTTACATTGAAAATGGCACTTGATTCAAATAAAAGGTTAATACATTTGCTATTAATTGTTGTTTGCTTGTTTATGATATCCATAATTAATTTAAACCTGATTTCCTTACAAGAAACAACAGGGATCTCAGAAACTTTGCCTGCACTGTCCAGTAAAGTTACTGAATCGATTTCGAATCGAAGTCACTGAATGGAATCGTTCTAAATTAACCCAGATCGTCGATTAATCGAATCGGCAACCATGAATCGCGATTCGAATCGAAGTTAAAATGAATCGTTACACCCATAGTTGAAACGTATAAATCTATTATAGGAACGGCCACTTCTTCCTCATCTCAGGAGTGTCTAGTTAGACTTACGAGCAATTTGACATGGCAGTAGGTGCATAACATCAGACAGTAAGACAATGGACCACAAGACAGATAAATTGTAAATTGAACATGTTATCTTAACTCTGTGGAATAAAATATAAAGCTATATAATATATGTATTGTAGCTTTTACATTTACAACTATAAAGACACATTTCAAAAGTCTATGGTACATCCCACAGACTGGATAGAAGAGGTGGATGTAGTAAAAGTGACGTCAGGTATTGAAGCGCTGTTTTGAGGCCTCTAGTTTGCCAATCGCCTATCGAGATGTACAGACACCGCCCGTGAAAGAGGATCATTTGATCATATCAAACAGTCATAGCAGCAGCAGTGGGAATATAGCAGTCTGCATTCGGCCGCATCACAGCACAAGTACTTCACGTTTTGCTATGGTGGGCAGAGAAGGGCGGCGATTACCTGATGGGCTGCAGGTTTCGTAAATACGTTTCACAGCGAGCGCTATCTGAACGTTTGCCGTGGCACTGACAACGCTACGTTTGCAGGTGTACGTACATGAGGCCCTGACACTATTAACCATGTTTAATGAGCAAAAAAAAATAATCACGTGAGAAGTAGAGCAATTAGTTTATTAGTAAGTTCAATACTATTAGAGTCGGCGCCCCTGATGGCCTTTCAGGTCATTTCCACCTCAACGTGCCCACTGTAATATGCACACTCATATGCTATTGTCCGTTGGGATCGGCTTAAGCCCCCCCCTGCGACCCTGACTATGTTAAGCGGTTACCACTTATGGATGGATGGATTCCCCCCCCTCTAAGTGAAGAAACCAGTCACAGCAAGCCACATGAATATGACAGGATCAATAGTTTATAGATCACCATCGCCAAATGTGAAGGTTGGTCAAACTACTGCATCACAATCCAAGAGGAAAAACCTTTTGGGCTCTGGAGAGAAAGGGGAAAGCAGTTGGTGCCAAAGGCCTGATCTGTTGGTCAGTAGAGAAGGTATGATTGCCTTTAACATGCAGTTCAAAAAGATTTTTTTATTTGTATTGAGATCCCGACTGAGAAGAGATGCTGCTTCAATACTAACACAACTAACCAAAGGTCGGCAGGTCGGACTCATGAAAGACAGCGGCTAAATATAGTAGTAGGGCTCGTTGATTGATGTGACTATACGTCAATATACACGCAAAGTTGCATTCCATCAAACTGAATTGCCGGCTAGGTCGATGTGGACTGCATCAAAGCTGAGGAACAAATCACAGACTGGCGAGACCCAGCAGGCAAGTGGCTCAGCAAGGAGTTCAGGAGAAAATAAGGTAATCACAGAAGCAAATAAAGCCTTATTTATTTGGTCACTGGGCTCAATGATTCATCACCTGCACCAACATCTACTCTTGGTTTATATCCAGTTCTTATATCTGCCTCACGGTGAGGCCGTGGATCCAGAGGTGGTGTTGGTCGGTTTGCAGCCTTGAGCAATCAACCCAATTGCCGACAACGTACTTCATTCAGAATGCATTTCATCCATATTACATGGCGTATTGTGAGTTATAGTTTACGTTTACAAATGGAAAACACTTAACTTGGGTGAAGCATTTGCTGCATGTTTACTGCAGTATAGGCATGGAGAGAGTAACTGCTTCTGGAAACAAAACAATTAGGTTTTGCAGCACAGAAAAGGTTGATGCCTTTCGAAGTCTTTTATGATGGCTGTTGATATATATATATATATATATATATATACGCACATTAATTACGGTAAACTCACTGGAAGGCTCCATCAAGGCCTCTTAAGGAGGGCTTTTGTACCCTCATCCAGCATCTAAACTGAGAAATTACAATACACAACTTATGCTCAATGTCTCTATAAGCCTGCGGTTGTTTAGTGGCATAAAAGGCTCCTCTGACAGAAATATGGACTTTTGCTAAAACAGGTCACTGTCTTGACCAAAGAGAAGATCAATCCAGCAAGTGCCCCAAAATTACTTGTTTTTAAACAAAGGACAAAGGAAACACAACTGGACGTTGTGTCGGGAGATTTGCAGGTGCAGCCATTCTGAATCCATTTGCCGTCGAGCTGTTAGGAGCTTATACTTTATAAGCATTATAAGTAACCACAAATGGTTATTGTGAGTCACTGGAGGTTTGCTACAATATGCAGGGGGGGGGGGTTATGTAACAGTCACAACTGAGATGTCTGTGTTAATGTCTGATGGAAGCGCGTGTCGATGATAGAGTGCTACAGCGGCACTAAAGTGTTACGAGTGTTGTACTTTACACCGCCGTAAAGATGTTAGCGGCACTGTGTGTAGGCTGAGTGTTTATATAACCGAGTCCACAGCTTCCATGCGGCAGAATGTTTCAGCTTTGATGGGAAATCTGTCAGCCCTCTGTGATGAGCAGACGTAGATATGAGAAGACAGGTTTTGTGTCAAAATTGAAGACCTACAGGAAATGGTTGGTCCCTGTGTTGCATATTTCTCAGACAGACCCGAGGTATCGAGAGCGCTGTCACATGATTTGTGTTGCCTCCCTCTTAAATCCTGTTCATTATAGGCAGGCTGTAAGTGCTCACAGCTACTGTGTTGCTGACCTTCTGTTTTACATAGAAGGACGCACATGTGAACCAACAGACCTGTACCCATGTAGAGATACGCACAAAACAACAATGTGGGTGTAGATTGTTTTAGTGTCTCAACGCAAGAATCCAGTCCTAAATAGCTCTAAATCTCAAGAGATATTACCTTTGTCAGCAGTGTCAGTGCTTCTCCAGGGTTTACAACCCAGGTGCCACCATCTCCGCTCCGTGCCTCTGAAGATGGCAGATTTTCATCTTTGCATACACAAACTACTCACACTAGAAACTAAAATTCACACTTGAAAAATCATCCTTATTACAAAAACTTGTACCTCTAGCTGGATTTAGCACACAGACATTCTCGCCCTCTTTCTTTAGCCCACTCAGATCACGAAGAATCTGCAT